GTGAAGGCGCTTGAGCTAGACCCCCACGATGCGCCCGGCTGCGCAGAACTAGGCGCGCAAGCCCGTGCTGGCAGCTTCGCTTCGCTCAGAAGTCAAGATTTCTATTACTGATGGTCATTTTGCTTGCCGCAGGTTTGCACTTGGGCTCGGGGCACTGCCAGCTTCAAGGCACGCTCTGGTGTAGGGAGACTGGTGCCGCTGCGGCCCCCGGAGGCTGGCCAAGTCCCGAAGCCTGGTTTTGCGAGCTGGAAGGCTTGGGAAAAGGCGCGCCGAGACTTGACAAAAGCGCTGCGAACATGGTCGACTGGCTCTTCCCTCAAAAAAACAAGCGAGGCAGCGGAAACTGGAGCGGTGCGCAGCTGATGCAGAGGCGTGAGAAGTCTTGCCACAGTTTGCTGTTTGGCAATGTGTTGAAAGCTATGTTTTCATTGGTCGTCCACCTGTCGTTCGTTTCGGGAGGGAAGTAATTGTAAACGCTTCGCGCTGCCCGCCTCACCCAGTACTCTTTGAAGTGTTGTGTTGGTCCGAGTGGGTCCGGCGCGTGGCTTTGACAGGTTTCTCAAGGGGGGGCGCGTGGCTGGGAATTTGACGTGTTCCCTTGCGAATTTGGCCAGTGTCTTGTGTGGATTTGGCGAGCTTCTTCATGGGAAATTGACCGGGTGGGGAATTTGTTTCTTGGAAGTTTTTCGGAGACGTAGGTGGAGAAGTCTGAGGGCGGCCTAGCTTGCGCTGCACGACAGAGTGCGCGGGTGGTCCGGCTTTCTGCATGATAGTCAGAAGCTTCTTGGAGCGCAAGAACTTGCCAACACGCCCAGCTGTGATGTAGAATGGGGTCGGCGTGGGCTCCACTCAGCTAAAACACAGAGCAGCAGCTTCTCAGGGTTGGGGATGCGTGTCCCAAATTTCAATCCCATCAACTCAAAGGATGCCAAGGCCACCAGCAAACCTTTGAGCGCGCGTCCATCGTAAGCAGGTTCCATTCGCGTTTCGCGCGCAGGGCTCTTCAGCTGGCACCAAGCTGCCCCGAGGTGCTGCTCGCCGCGAGCGCAGGCCAGGGAAGGGCCCTAAGCGCGTCTGTCTATTTTTCATGTTGATTTGAATATGGTTGCCCGACATGTTCTCCATCCACCACTTCCCTAAGCTTGCTTCGTTCAATTCTTCTTGTGGATGCGACATGCCATGAAAGCAAATCGCGATGAAGAAAGAGATTCATTTCCGTAATCTGTTGGTTCACAATGGTAGCAGCTGGGGTGGGGTAATGAGAGACAGGCGCATGCCAGTTGATGGCTATAAGGTTTCAACCACGCCGTCAACCTTTTCCTTTCTCCTGAAAAACACCATGCGTAAATTTCTCCGAGAACCAAACTGAACCAATATTGCGAGAACGCACAAAGCCCTCATTTTGGCACGGGTTTCCGGCAGCCCCGGCATCGGTGCTGCATCGTCATACCAGTATCGCTTAGGTCGCAGGAAACAGTGAATGGGGAAGCAGGTGGCCCAGACTCAGGATGGGGTACTAAAGTAAGACAGGCCATGAATGGAGAAGCAAACTGTGAAATGCATTTATCATCTCTGAATTTATGCATCTCTGGCATCTCTGGTATGTTGGCTAAGGCAAGCAATGTGGCTGGCATGGTAGCGCGTTGAGCGTTGGAACAAGTGTCAAGTGGGAAGTCCCGGGCTGCTGAGGTGTTAAGCCTAACCTATTAGGCCCCCCCCGGGTGGCAGAAGAGGAGCCTTTTCGCGGACAGCGCCGCCTTCAAGGAACGCGTCTCCGTTGCAACAATGAGCTGCGTGCGTGTTCACTTTTGGCGCCAGCCTCCAAGAACACGCGGCCAGCGAGTCGCCTTGACCAGTACCTGACAGGGTATAGTGTGCGATCAAGAAGGGCCACGAAGCTCCCGTTTTACCACGTCAAAGGCGGGTAGAGAACCTGCTTTGAAACACCCTGCTTTGGCACAAAACCAAAGGGGGGCTGAAAAAGGCTAACTTTTGCCATTCCGTGTTTTGCTGCCGTGTCTGCGATGGTTCGCGTAGTCGATGTGTTGCTGGAACGCGCTATTGCGTCTGCGCCCTGGCCTGCTGGAACTGTTTCTAATATTCACCTTTGTTGGTGTGTGACACCAAATGCTGGTATCGCCTTGCTGACGCCATAACTTGCGCGAGCAGCGGCGTGTGAGCAGCAACATGACGGGCGTTATCCACCGGACCCTCGATATAGGAAGTGCTCGAGTGTGCCCGCGCATTCTCAGAGTAGGCGTCGTTTTCTTTTCAGTTTGTTTAAAATGTGCTACGGTGTTCCAAATGGCACGGACGAGGCGGGGCCCAGAATCGGGAATTTTCTTGGAATTTGTTACAGTTTCTTAGCATTTGTTAGCTGGTCCTTGCTTTTGTTAGAGTTTGTTAGCTTTTCGCAGCTTTTGCCGCGATTTGTTGGCTTTTTGTAAATTTCAGGAGGTTTTGGGGGGCTGCAAACACTTTTGTCGCGCCGGATGCGCTGTCGATTTCAATAGCTGACAAAGAGGGCTGTCCCGCCAAGAAGCCGTGGCGCTTTGTGGCCGCGTCGAAGCAACTTCATGATGAGCTTCAGCAAAAAATTCCCTCGCCATTCCTGTGTTGAAGTGCTTGCGAGAGCAGTTGAAGCAGATGCAACCTCCACGAACCCAGAGGGAGTTTCGTAGGACCCTTTTTCGGTTCGGCCCCCGAAGCCAATTCTTTTTCCCGAAAGCACGGCGAAGGGTTCTTCCGCTGCGTTCACTTCAGTTGTTCTCATGAGAGTCATTGCAAGGAGTCATTGCAAGGAATCATCATCATGAAAGTCAGTGCAAGGTGTCATTGCAAGGAATCATCACCATGAAAGTCATTGCAAGGATCCTTGCACTTGCAACTTGTACTTGACTCCGTGCACTTGCAACTTGCACTTGACTCCATGCACTTGGCTCCTTGCAACTTGCAATGACTCTCATGACTCCTTGCAATGACTCCTTGCAATGACTCCTTGCAATGACTCCTTGCAATGACTCCTTGCAACCTTGCAATGACTCCTGCAATGACTCCTTGCAACCTTGCAATGACGCCAAGTGCAATTGACTTGCGAGGAGTTAAAATCTCTTCTTAGGGCGGCGGGCTAGTGCCGACGACACTACACGAAAACCGACCCTCTGCGGGGATCGGCGCGGTCGAGGTGGAAAAACTCGAGGTTTTTTGCGATTTCTGCGGTGCTCGCGCGACCCTCTGAGGGGATCGGCGTGGTCGAGGTGCAAAAACTCGAGGTTTTTTGCGATTTTGTTTGGGCTCGCACGGCCCTCTGCGGGGATCGGCGTGGTCGAGGTGCAAAAACTCGTGGTTGCTTGCGGTTTCTGCGGTGCTCGCGCGGCCCTCTGCAAGGATCGGCGTGGTCGAGGTGCGAAAAATGGAGCTTTTTTACGATTTCTGCGGTGCTCGCGCGACCCTCTGCGGGGGTCGGCGCGGTCGAGGTGCGAAAACTCGAGCTTTTTTTACGATTTCTGCGGTGCTCGCAGGTTTTTTGCGATTTTTGTTGTTCGAACTGGGCCTCAGGAGTTGTCTCGTGGTTCGCGCGCCTGCTCCCGGGACCGCCGGGTCGCGGGTTCGATTCCCCCTGGTCCGTGGTGCTTCGCAAGCTGCACGGAGCAACTTGCATAAAGCAACTTGCGCAGAGCAAGCTGCGCAGACCATTTTGCGCAGAGCAACTTACGCAGAGCAACTTCCACAGAGCAACTTGCGCAGAGCAGCTTGCACAGAGCAACTTGCAGGGAGCAACTTGCACGGAGCAATTTGCACAGAGCAACTTGCAGGGAGCCACTTGCAGGGAGCCACTTGCAGGGACCAACTTGCACGGAGCAACTTGCGCGGAGCAACTTGCGCAGAGCAACTTGCGCAGACCAACTTGCACCGACCAGTTTGCGCAGAGCACCTTGCCCAGAGCAACTTGCGCAGACCAACTTGCACCGACCAGTTTGCGCAGAGCACCTTGCCCAGAGCAACTTGCGCAGAGCAACTTGCGCAGAGCAACTTGCACAGAGCAACTTGCACAGAGCAGCTTGCACAGAGCAATTTGCGCAGAGCAACTTTGACAGAGCAACTTGCGCAGAGCAACTTGCGCGCAGCAACTTGCGCAGAGCAACTTGCACAGAGCAACTTGCACAGAGCAGCTTGCACAGAGCAATTTGCGCAGAGCAACTTTGACAGAGTCAGTTAGCTTCTTGCACAGAGCAGCTTGCGCAAAGCAACTTGCGCAGAGCAACTTGCGCAGAGCAACTTGCACAGAGCAGCGTGCACAGAGCAACTTGCAGGGAGCAACTTGCACGGAGCACCTTGCACGGAGCAACTTGCGCACAGCAACTTGCACAGAGCAACTTGCGCAGAGCATGGTCACGGGGCTGCGATGCTTTCGGGCCAGCCGTGGTCCAGTTGGTTAAGCAAATTTTTCTAGTTACCTGCAATCCAAAAACAATTGGAAAGTTACAAATCCTTTCATTTGCACTCAATGTGGCGCTCCGCGCGATATGCCCTGCAATCGCGCCCAAACTGACGAAAATCCGTTTTCAACAGGAAGGCCGAAAACTAAAACACAGTGATCGACCGTCGAACCCTGCACCCTGTGTGTGATAGTATAAGAAGACAACTATGTACTTCTTTCGCTCCTCAGAAACATTTTGTTCTGGTGCACCCCCAGAAGCACTGGCGAGCGAAACAACAAAGGCTTGTCTCGTTGCACACGGGAATGCGCAGGCTACATACACAACCACAAACCATTAGACACACCTTTCTCATTTCGCACACCTTGGTGCCAGAGCACAAACTCACCACGCACGCCCTCGCAAAGCACAACAACACAGATATTTGTTTATAAGTAGTAGGCGTGTGTGCCGCAAATCTATATATATATACACACATTTCACACCTAAATTTGCACAGCGCTGGCCTGCAAATCGCCGAAGGTGTGTCTTCTTAGCAAAGTATATGTGTTACTCAAAACCACACCCACACATCGGAGACACACCTTTGATGATTCGTGCACCGCTGATGCCCAGCGCCCCAAGCCCGCCACACGCGATCTCAAAACGGAACCACACACACCCGCACACACATGTAGTTGTTTGCGCATTTGTTCGTTTCTTTACTTGGCTTATGTTTCACTCATCTTTCAATTGAATTTCAATACATTTCATTTCTTTGCTTTGCTTATGAAACTTTCCTGCAGCGCCGCCTGCAAGCAGAAGACGCGCGATTCCAACTTCAACAGGAAGGCGTCGAAGTTCCGAACTTACCGCCAAGTTCCGTCATGCCTTTTTTGCAAGAGTTGAAATTTTGTTCTTGCGTGTTTGGCTGGGTTGCTAAGTTCTTGCCCCGCCTAGTTCTAACTCAACTACTTGGCAATGCAGCCGAACATCCAAGCTGCTGGCAGAAAGGGTGCGACGGAATTCGGCGCAAATTTCCAGTTTTTCGGCTCGTGTATCTGGTTTTCCGACGGTTTCCGAATCAATCCGACGCAGACGTTTTTCACGTACGGAAGCCGACCAGCACTAATTCAGTCGCACTCCTGAAAGTCACCGACCCCACGCAGGTGCGTCAAGCAAATGTGACAAAAGCCCTTTCCTAGATGGCCGGGCGAAAGCAAACTCAATCATGCGCGCGCAACACTTTCAGTTAGCTGCGCTGCGCGCCACGAGGCTAAGACAGTCTGTTTGCGCGCCGCGCACCTGTCCGTCTGTTCACTGAAACGGGCTACACAAAATATAAGCCATGAGAAACATGAAAGTGCTGAGGCGCGTCGCAGCCGGATATCTTTGACAAGCAAAGCTGTCCTCGGCGAGCGCCTTCGCCGGCGTCTTGATTCCCTTTTATTGCCCAAGTGACACGCGCCCTGTCCCCCTCCTTCCCCCAGCGCAAACAGGGCCCGATGTGATTGCGCGGAGGCGGCGCTCTTCTTATACGGCGCAAGCTGCTAACTGAAAGTAAGTAGAGCCTAACCCGTTGCGGCAGCGCAACAGCGCGTGTCATGCCGCGCAAACCACACGCTATCCTAACTTGCTGAAAGGGGCTTGCGCAAGCGCAAGACCCGCGCCCAGCCCTTGCGATAATACCCTCGCGACTCGCAACAACAGATGCTCCGAGAGCCGCCGAAAAACCGATGATGTTCACGCAGCAGAACCGCCAAAACACCCAGAAATCCAGAAAACACTACGAGAAGCCCTTGTCCGGGCTTCTTCGCAGAGCTCGTTTTGTTTCCACCGGACCAGTTTTTTTGTCTCTACCATTTTTCCGGCTTAAGCCAAAAATATCTCGTTCTAAGAAAAAAGACACAACAAAACACCCTCCAGGAATGTTCCTGAAGAACTCTTGAACTTGGGGAACAGCGTTCGGGAAGTTCACGGACTGATCCTACCTACGCATGTTTCCCCCAATATGGCCGCTATGGTCACAAACTTCAACACGTGGCGAGATGCTGGCATCTCCTCACCCCCTCCACGCCGTGGAAGGAGAGGCAGATGTCTTGAGTGAAAAGACTTACGCGATCTAAGCGTATGTAACCACTGTACATGATGTGGTTGCGGCCGTGCACCAAGAGGCCGCTCCTAGGCCAGGTCATAAAACCACAGCTGCAGACGCTGTCAAAAGCGCACTTGCAAGCCTTGCCCCGGTTGCAGCGTGGAACATGGACCTCGAACCAAAGCCTGTCAAACCAGCAGCGCTCTTAGCGGCTCTGTTGATAAGGGCTCTGTACGGGCGGCCAGACACCAGCGGTCTCTCGGGGAGCAGCAACCCAAGAAAGTTTTTGCGTACAACTTGGGGAATAAGCACTTTTCTTGCTATTTCTTTCCGAGCACTGGTTTGAGGTTGTCAAGGATGACCTCACTCTTTCCGGGTCAGACGAGCCGTGAACCCTTCTGGGAAGAGATTTTGTCGTTTGCTGATATTGAGCCATCAGCGTCGATCTATCGCGTCCTTGGTAGGAGCCATGTCATTCTAACACCCCGAAGCAACACAACCGCCACGCACCGTTCGGCTGGGACAGTGAAGAATGATCCTAGCGAGCTCGTCTTGTTTGGCATTTTCTCGCTTATTGGGTGACCAATGACTCTTATCAGGCTGCAGTTATGCTTGCAAGAAAGAGCGCTCTCCCACGCTCAGAGCCATTTCTAGGGTGCGTAGCGTAACGCCAACTTCAAGAAGGCGGTTGCGCGCAGACCGGTCACCAAGCGGCAGACATCTTACCAACCTGTAGAATCAAGACCGAGCGAGCGCTCCCGAAGAGGTTGACATGAGCGTCAAGACCCGGAACCGCATTTTCTTGTAAAACCTTGAGATCTCGACGTGCGACTGCGGGCGCTGCGGGCGCGGCAAGAGGGGGTCAAGACATATGGACCCGTAAGCCCGCGCTAGCATGTTAGTGTGTCACGCGTGTTGAGTAGGCATGTCAGGGTCCAGTTGGCATGACTACCGGTTGCCCGCGGAAATCAAGAGCGGGGACAGTAGTTCTTGCCCTTTGAAGCATGAACGGAGAAATAAACCGTGAGAATTGCATTCATGATATTTTGCAGGTTGTAAAGATCATTCTCGTCTTATCTTTATCCCCTCTTTCACATCTGTTCCTAGGACGCGGTTCTGCGAGACACAAAGTGGTCAAGCAGCATGAAGATGACCAGCCATCTCTTCAGTGGATCCACCAAGTGCCAAGCTAAAGTTTATAAGACCGGACAGAGACCAGATCCTAATGCGTGAGGAGGTAGCTATAGGTTCATTTGCATTCCTCATCATCCCTTCAGGCCATTTGCCTTTCTTTACAACACTTCCAACCCAATCACAGTGTTGGCTACAGAAATGATAATTGATGATGAGTGACAAAGCGGGTAGCAGCACATAGCAAGGCAGCTCATGTCCTGGAGCCTCATTTTCGTGGCTCTTTCATTTTCATGGCTCTCTAATTTTCTTTGCTTTCTCATTTTGTGGCTTGCGCTAAAAGGAACACGCTGAAACATCCATTCCTATCTCCCGCTTTCACGCGAGCCCGCGAAGCTGGATGACGAACAGAACCTGCTTCGTGAAGCCCCGAAGGGCTGCGCGCAGAGCAACTTGCGCACAGCAACTTGCGCAGAGTAGCTTGCGCAGAGCAGCTTGCGCAAAGCAACTTGCAACTTTCAAGCCGGAAGCCCGGGAATGTTCTTTGAGCACTACTTTCGTACTTGCAGGTTGCGATGTTCGAGCCAGAGCTGCAGGAGTGTACTTTGCGTACTACTTTGGTACTCAATTGTTGCAACTTTCGAGCTGTTGCGACCTTTTGACAGTGCATTTCGCGATTGGGGCTTCATCCAGTGACTTGCAAGTTTGCACGGCCAGTGGGCCACTCTCCGCACCCACGGCGAGACCGTACGCTAAACCGCGTGACACGCTTCGCCTCCCGCTTCTTTTCTGTCTCCTCTCTTTGCACACCGCGCGTCGAATGGTCTTGCACGGACATCTGCTTTACACTGTCAACTGTTTCGTGCTACGGAAGTTTCCTAGCCTATACATATAGTATGTATAACTATTGAACTTCCTTGTAAATGACGTTATGGGTGGACAGGATTGTCATGAAGAATCCTTGTGGTTGCAGAAATTCGATTTCGAAGCATCATTTTTGTTGTCAGCCATTCATGTCCTTCTCGTTTTTGTTGCACACCACAAAGAAATTGCCAACGGAGAAGGAATATTACGTGGCCACTTTCATTTGATGGAGAGAGACATGGGGACGAGCCAGCTATCTCCAGCGTATGATCCTAGCGCTTGTCCGGACTCACGGCTTTTTCCTCGCTGGCCCATCACCACGCTAACGCGCTTGAAGTCTCATAGAAATGTGCTTGTTTTTGTTACTGGAAACCCAGGCTCACCGTTCACACACATCCTAAAGCCGTTCATTGCGGATGGATGATAGGGAAATAGAGAGCCAAGGGAACGATCGGAAACCAGATTGTTTTCGGGCTCCATTGAGAGAAAACCCAAGCGGAGCCCACTGAAGCCAGGCGGCGGCCCGCTTGATCCGTGCCTCTCGGAAGACCGATGCGGGGCCCACAAACTATTGTGGCGCGTTGAAGATTGGGAATTGAAGTTTATGAAATGATTTGTACCTTTCGTTTTGCCTGAAACGAACCAACCAAGCCGCGGTTCCCAAACAAGGACGCAGCCATTTGATTCCAAAGCAGAGGTTTGCGCGCGGGTCCGCTAGTTCAAGTTCGAACAGTCGAGTTAGCTGAAAGCGGCAGACTGCGAACGCCTGGCGGTATGCAAGGGATGACATCAGAAGAGCGATGCGCTGAGGGACAACTAGTGGTAGGAGGTGTAGGCTCAAAAAATCATCGCGTGCCGAAAAAAGTTGCATCCAACGCATGCCGTGGCACGCTGGCAGGGCTGGTCTCGAAACACGCAAGGCTGAATAGTATCCGAGTGTCAATCACTTGCTTGCCTTTGTTCAACCATGAGCATGACTCGCTGCCTTTCACGACCCTTGGTGACAATGGCGCGGCGCAATGTGAACGTATTCCTGACTGCGCGACGGGTAGAACAATCGTACGTGTTGCCTCACTTGGGCCGTATGATGCGGGCACTTCCTTTCTTGGCATACAACGCGGTAGATCATCCTGCCCTGCAGCCCCTCAACAAACAACGAACATCAGCTGTTAACATTTGCCACAGCAAACAACAGGCCGGCTGTTAAAAAAGGCAATTCGCTTCGTGTCCGCGGGGAATTTATGCAGCGGGGGCACCGCGCAGGCAATTCTGGGGAACGTTTGCTGTATGAGCGACAGCCTTCTGCGCGCAGCCTGCCGCAAAATACAGCTGCAGCGTGCGCAGAGTCGAGTCTAAGGCGCGCAGCGTGCAGCGAAACCCAGCGTTGCACTTTGCACTGTCACGTTTGGAGCGGTCGGCCGCGGGTGGCAGGCTCGTTTCGTCTGCGAGGGGCTCCAACAAATTGTTGGCGCGTAGGGTTTGGGTGTTTCAGGTTTGGGGTTATATGGTATAGGATGGAAATTACACAAGCATACAACATTGTTCACAGAAACGTCGCTCTTTTTCAACACAGAGGGATTGTCCTCAAATGTTTGTTCACCCTTTTCATGTCAACACTATAAGATTTTTACATTTCAAGGACAGGCCATTTGTAATCATTCTGCGGGATAGGCTGTTTAAGCTTTGTTTCAGAGTTGGGTTTTGGTTTTCACTTTTTCAGAGTTGGTTTTTGGTTTTCAGCTTTAGCCTTTTCACTTTCAGCGTGAAGAGGAACAGGGATCTCAGCCGGTGTCGGGATTGATAAATCCATCCCCCCCCCCCCAGCGCTTTTGCAAGCGGCGCCATGTCATACTTAGCGGGTTCTTCTGATGATGATGATGATGATGAGTTAACTGCATGCGTCTACTAACAGTGATAGGTGGGGAACTGTGAACGCTGACAAGAGGTGAAGTGTTGAACTCAACTTCTTCATTAGCAGTTTTCTTTAACCAAATCATCATAGCGCCTCCTATACCGCAAGAGGTTACTACTGAATTTATTGTTACAATGAACCAGTATGTCAGAAATTTGAAACGAGGCCAATCTAGCCACACTGAAGCCTGACCGCAACATAAGTTCTAACCTTAACCATCATAAATATATTGTTTACATTTTGACCATTATCATTTTTCGTCACTGTCATCGTCCTTCTGCTTCTGCCTTACTCACCAGATGACTTTGAATACTCTTCGAAGACCCGCCTAAAAACTCTTTGTCTGCGTTTCCCTACGCGTGTGCCACCAAGTTGCGACTTAGTGCGCTTCCTTTACGACGCTGGCTCCGAAAACGAACAGAACCCCGAACGATAAATATAGCTTTCCCAGGCAGCTCTTTAGTAGGGGGAGGCGGGGGGCCGTTTTTTTTTTTACTAGGGGGGCAGGATTGAGCAGTGAGTTCGCTGCACCCAAATACCGACGGGCATTTGATTTGAACTTCTTGCTCGGTTTTGTTACACTTGTTGTTTGATGTTGGTAGTTTACCTACTGTGCAATTCCTTGTAAGCGCTGGTGAGAAATTTTCAAAACCTGGACATAGTAATAACCAGATCATAAAATGAACTTATCTGCTAAGTGTTTCTGTATTTTTGTTGTTTCGCCCTGCTTTTTTACCAGGTACAAGGTGGGCCCCCTAAGTTACAAGTAGCTTCTGGTACATATGTTTTAGTTACGACACTTATATTTAACTTAAGATCAACTTATCTTGAGAACTTATAACTTAGTTAGCGTGAATTTATAAGTAACTTACAACGTATAACTTGTTTGCGCGCTCGTTGTCCGATTTGTTCGGCCGAGCATGTTTTTCCACAAGATCAGGCGGGCAGAGCGCTCATGGTCCGTTTTCCAGCAAAGGCGAGCTAGAAGAGGCTGTGTGCGAACTACAGGAAGCAAACATAGCGGCCGCCGTTGATGCTGACCCAAGCAGGACTGTCCGGCAAGGGAATCTTGCGCCAGTTGTATAACCAGTCGCTGGGGGCCGACCCACTCGAACACACGCTGGCAAGCATCTGCAGACACACATACAACTTGGCATCTGCTTCCCAAAAAAGCGATCGCGCCGGTGCTGATGCTGTCTGGACCCCGCAGCAACTCGTCGCCAACTTGCATCTGCAGCGACCCAACGCGGCAGCCGCGCCCGCAAGCAGTGGCAACCAGATCAGGCCGCAGGTGTGGCAGAGGGCGAGCGCGCGGCTTCGTCACCCGGTAGGCGCCGCTCGCAAGCAAAGGCCTCTCGAGCTCCGTCGCAATGTCGGAGAAGCAGCCTTGGCAGCAGTATCCACCCAACGCTTTTTCCGTGATCGTTTGACTGACGAGTCGGGCCATTTGGCCTTTATAGTCACGATTCCGTCGGCCAGGCAATGAAGCCAAAGCGAGGGTATTGCTGTGGCAAGTGCAGCCATCCACGCACCGACACGGTGAGCACGAGTGTCGGACATCAAAGCCAGACCCTACCCCCGTTGATCTTGACCGACATGTGCTCAAGCTGTGGAGAGTGTTTGCTGCCTCTTTCAGACAGAGCGCAATGTCCTTGCCGCAGGTGAAGCACAAGGTCTCTCCAGCGCCGTGGGCGTGCTTGGTTCGCAGTTGCGGGGCGCGGTTGGCGTCCTTGGCGAGATTCGCGAGCTTGGGGCGAGATTCTTCCGCAACTTGCGCAAGGACATCCGGGAGAGAGTCGCGCGCGCCAGCTTGCAGAACTTTCTTCCAGGCTGTCAAGCTTGGCGGCCTGCTCCTGGATTTTGCCTGGGAGCTTGGCCCCGCCCGACTGCCTGCGCTTGGAACTCCTTGGCAGCCTTTATTTTTATTTTTTTGTGGCAGCTTGCACGAGATTCTTGGCGGCGGCCGACGAGCGATTCTCTGCTTCGTGACACCGCGGACCTTGGCATAGGCGAGGCGCTCACCGGGTGTGCGCTCAGCCTTACACTTTTGGAAGAAGTCCTGGCATCCTCCCTCGTTGATCTCGCGATCTATATTTAAGCCGTTGCGCAAGAGTGTCGTGACCACTGCGTGGCAGCGGCGGCAGACCCACGTATGTTGGTCAGAGACGCGCGATCGAGCTCGAGCCTCTGACTTCGCAACCTCCGCCAGGCAGCGCGCGCACTTGACGTTGTCAGCTGTGGCGGCGAAGGGACACATCTGTAGCATCTGCCGGGACTGTTGGCGCCGCGGCTTGACTCATCGACGCCGTAGGCTGTGTCTCAACAGGAGAAGTCAGTGCTTGCCAGCGGCCACGGAGATAGTTCGGGAGACGGTCGGCCGCTATAGAGCTGGAAAAAGGCAAGGGCAGTCCAGTGGCGCCTGTTTGGTGCGAGCTTTTGCGATGCGCGCGGGATGTATGTGGTTGTATGTGGGCTCTTTTTTTGGATGTGTGCGGTCTGGGTGTGGACCGCTTGTTGGGATGTATGTGTGGGCGGGCTTTTTACTATAAAAAGAACGATGATTTTGAAGAAGCGCGAGAAAAGTGTAATTGTTCAGCTCTTCTATGTTTTTCGGGATTCCGGTGATGTATGTGGGATGTATGTGGGTTGAATGTGGGTCATGTTTTGGGTTGTGTGTGGGTTGTGTGTGGGTGGCCCTCCCCGTCACTTTTTACTTTTTTCTCCTTCATCTGCGTGGTCTCTGCAGCGCCAGCCGCGCCCGTCGGCCATGGCCAGAGCGGGCCACCCCTCCCGCCGCCTCCGTCGGGCCCACCGGAGCCAGGCGGCTTAGGATCCGAGGCCCTCACGGGCGAGCGCTTTTTCGTCTTCTTCTCCTTTTTTTGATTTTCTTCTTCTTCTCTTTGCGCTCCGGGCGGCGACGCTTGGCGACGGGCTCCTCCTCATCTGAAAGCTCTGCCTTGGCATGGCGCCCTCATCCTCGAGCAGAGGGCTGTCTGGCCGACCTCAGCCCACCCTCCCAGTGCTTCCACGTAAGGCTCCTCTCCCCACGGCCCTGCCACCCCGCCTTAGTGGGGTGGATCTTCTGCCAACAACTGGAAAAACGGCGCCGCAGCCGGGGCCGGGCCTCAGACACTTCGCGCTCTGAGGGCGAGGCGCCGGCGCCCCAGCCTTCTTTCTCTCCGGCGGAGGGGACGGATCCGGGATCTTTTTGTCTTCGCTGGATCCCTCCATCTCTTCGCTCTTTGAGGTTGCAGAGGTGCCCGTCTGGACCTTCCTGATCCTTCTTCTGCGGATCTTTCCGATCCGCATTCTTATTCCTCTTTTTCTTCTCCATCACCTGGCGGCGCGGGGGTGAACACACGCGCCAAGGCCAGCAACGCGACGCGAGGGTATGCGACGGCGGCCGCAGCCAGCGAGTCGCCCTCGGTGGCCGAGGCCAGCAACGCGGCGCGTGAATGACGGCAGCCGAGGCCAGCAGCGCGGCGCGCGAATGACGGCGGCCGTAGCCAGCGCGTCGCGCGCGGTGACCAAGGCCAGAGGAGGTGGCGGCCATGGCCGGCGCTCCCCACGCGCATGTCCGCGGTGACCGAGGCCAGCAGCGCGGGACACCTGTTGCGCGCAGGCGGCGACGAGGCTGCCGCCCCCCGCCCCCTACCGACACAACGCGACACGACCAAAAAAAGGCCTCAAGGGCTGGCTAATTGCATAAAAAACGGTTCTAGCTTGCGTTTAAGAAACGTACTTGAGAATAAGGCTTTTTCAGACATGTGATTTTGCAATCCGCGCGCAAAATGGCCCATGCATATTTTGAGCCGTTCGTTTCCACGTGCAGGCTCGGGCAAAGTCGAACTCAGCATCGACAATTACCGCAGATATGAAAATTTTGCGCGGTGAACACTGGTACTGTGGCACGGCTGCCACAGGGCATCTTTTGCAAATACTACACTGCAGTACTTGTCTGCTCAACCCCTCCAAAATCCTTGTCTCAAGAAACTGGACCAATTAATTCCTTATTCACCAGCTCCTTATTCTCAAGGAGCGTCCGCAATGAATTCCTTTTTCCCGAGGAGCGTCCGCCATGAATTCCATATTTCCAAGAAGCGTCCGCCATTTATTCCTTATTCTCCAGGAGCGCCCGCGATAATTCCCTATCCTCAAGGAGCGTCCGCAAATTAATTCCTTATTCTCAAGAAGCATCCGCAATTACTTCCTTATTCTCAAGAAGCGTCTGCGTATTAATTCCTTATTCTCAAGCAGAGTCTGCAATGGGTTCCTTGTTCTCAAGCACCGTCAGCAAATAATGCCTTTTTCTCAAGAAGCATCGACCGCCGCCTTTTTCTCAAGGAGCGTCGACCACAACCACTTCCTCATTCTCAAGAAGCGTCCGCAATTCATTCCAAATTCTCAAAGACCGGGTTGATTCCCCAATCTTTTCAACCATCGCGCTTTTTAGAACCCAGCTGTTTCCGCTGGGGCTCTGATGGTTTTCTGGAAAGAAGGATCCCTGGAAAGAATGGGGAGGTGTCCCCTAGAGTAATTCCATATTGTCGAGGAGCCTCCGCAATTAATTCCTTATTCTTCAGGAGCGCCCGCAATTAATTCCAAATTCTGAAGGAGCGTCCGAAATTCATTTCTTTTCTCAAGGGGCGTCCTCAAGTAATTCCTTATTCTGAAGCAGCGTCTGCAATTGGTTCCTTGATCTCAAGGAGTGTTCGCAAGTAATTTCCTATTCTCAAGGAGCGTCCGCGATTAATTCCTTATTCTAAGCCAGCCGGACCAATTTCAATCTTTAGGCCATGTACACTAGCCTTGCGCACTGGCAAAGCTGTTTGCGCGAGGAAGTTACGAGCAAAAAATACTGCTTTGCAAGCGAAATTCTTATGCGCAAGCAACAATCCTTTTTCGCAGAATAACCTTAGTGATTCGACAAGCAAAAATCCTTAATGACAATCACAAATCCTTAATTACAAGCAGGTGCTTGTAATTAAGGATTTCTTGCTGTCGTGTCCCACACATTTCTGGAAAAACTTGGAAAATCCTGGCTTTGAACCGAAAACTGGGGGGAGGGTCTGTCCCCCAGTTTTCGGTTCAAACCCAGGAATTTCGGCTTCGTTTTTTGAAAAGTGGGGGACACAAAAAAGCAAACTCCTCAATTACAAGCACCTGCTTGTAAGTAAGGAACTTTGTGCTTGTCATGAAGAAATTGTGCGTAGCAAAAACCCTTAATTACAAGTACTTGCTTGTAATTAAGGAATTTTGCTTGTCATTAAGGCTTGTCATTAAAAAATTTGCCTGCGAATAAGGTTTTGTGCCTGCAGATTAGGATATGTGCTCATAAATCTGCATTTTTCATGAAAGTAAGGTTTCCTGCCTACGCTCCAGTGCGCAAGGCTAGCGTCCGGCTGGCTGAGAATAAGGAATTAATTGCGGACGCTCCTTGAGAACTTTTCTTTTTATAGAAAGGGGGACACAAAAGACAAAAACCCTTAATTACAAGATGCTTGCTTGTCAAAAACCCTTAATTACAAGCACCTGCGTGTAATCAAGGAACTTTGTGCTTGTCGTGAAGGAATTATGTGTGGCAAAACTCTGATTACAAGCACTTGCTTGTAATTAAGGATTATTGCTTGTCATTAAGGATGTGTGCTTGTCATTAAGGATTTGTGCTTGTAATTAAGGATTCTTGCTCGTCAAACAACTTATTTACAAGCACCTGCTTGTACTTGAGGATTTGTGCTTGTCACTCAGGATTTTTGCTTGTCATTAAGGAATTGTGCTTGTCATTAAGGTTCTTTTTCTGCGAATAAGGAAGTAATTGCGGACACTCCTTGAGAATGAGGAATTAATTGTGAATGCTCGTTGCAAAATAAGGAATGAATTGGTTCCGCTCCTTGAGAATAAGGATTCCGGGGTGCGCGGGGGGGTGGGGGGGTGGGAGAGGGCGTTGTGAGCACAGAGCAGAGAATCTTTAGGAAAGAGTCCCCGATTCCAACCGGTGCCGGAACGGCTTAACGCAGCGATAATCATGGATTCACAAGCCTTGATTACAAGCAACCAGTTTAAAAACCCTGGGTTTGTGTCCCCTTACAAGCATCGGCACTTGAGCCGACGTGGCTGACGCAGGCACGCTTGTCGTGGTTCAGAAAGCGAAGCCGACAAGCACAAACACAGACGCAGCTTTTCTCGGGCTGACGCGTGTCCTTGTAAAGGGCAGCCAGCTTAAAAACAAACTAGCCATATCGCGGGCTCTGGAGCAACCCAAAGCGCTGGCCGACCCGCCGGATAGCGGCGCCGTGCCGTGCTCAGGGATATCCAAGTTTTCCACGATGATCGGCGCCGTGGTCGGGCGACCTGCGGCTGGGCGGGCGCCGGCCATCCCCTTCCTTGGAGCGAAGGCACGATGGAGTGCAGGAAACATGCGCACGCTCTCCCTGCGCAAGATGCGCTTCATGAGCTTGCCCGCTGCGGCGGGCTTTTTCAGGCTGGTCATGATCGGCTTTGCCTTGCGCAGCGACACCCGTCTTTGCTGTGGACTCGGCTGCAGCCAGGCCGCTTCAGTCCGCGGTTTTGCGGTGTGGACGCATCTAGCTGGAAGCGTGGTAACCTGCGCCAAAAGGAGGTGGGCGCAAGTGCGGGAGCGAGGGAGTGAGCGAGTGAGTGTGAGCGAGAGGGGGGCAAGGGTAGGTAAGGGTAGGTGGGTGGGTGAGTGAGTGAGTGAGTGAGTGAGTGAGTGGCCAGGTGGGTGAGTGAGTGAGCGCGAGTGAGCATGAGTGTGAGTGAGCGAGTGGGCGAGAACAAGGAGGAAGGGGAGAAGGAGACAAGGATGTGGAGAAAACTGCTTTACTCCAAGAACCTTAAAGTTTCAAGAGCCAACACCCAGCATTTTTGAGCCTCGAGCCCTCCCAGCTGCGCCCCAAACATGTCACGGCTTGAGCTGGAAGTCGGCAATCATTCAACCAATCAATCAGTTTCCCCAAAAGAGCGCTTGATCGTTGACTCAGGCCTACTCCGCGCGGCAGCGCTCGGCAACGCCGTTGCCTGCCGCCGGTTGGCCCTCGCCTTGGCGCCTGGCGGGCGGGTGCTGGGCCAAGCAGCGCCTAGGATCCTCACGTGTCACACGTATCAGAGGCGGCGAGGCTGCGCTGTCAGTTTAAGGTGCGACTGCTCGGACAGTGTGTTGGTTTAATCTGGTCTTGCGCCTGTTTCGTGATGACTGCTTGTCACCGCCTCAAATCCTTTGTCATGGCGTGGGCTTACGAGCAGAGACAGAGCATTTTGCGCAGATGTTTGCTACTGAGGTGCGTGTCCCCTTTGAGGAGCGGGAGAAACATGTGCACGCATTTGCCACACCGCAAAGTAGGGCCAGGAGTTCGAAGCAGTAAAGGGCCACTTACGTCAGAAAGCCACGTCTCAAGCATGCGTGCCACAGAGCTCAGGGCTGCTTCACTCTCTTGCAAGGAGCAGGTGCGACTTTGCAGCCGCCGGCAGCTACTCCTCCGCGCTTGCGAAGAAATGGGCGCAGAGTGCCTGGTGGAGTGCCTTGAAAAGCAGATCGTGCGAGTGCAAGTCGGTGCCAAAAAAGCGCACTGGCGGTTATGGGGCACCCTTGATTGAGCCGCTCATGTGCAGTTGAAAGATGGACTCCCACAAGAACCTTCAACCAACCTCTTTGAAGCACGGGCTTATGAAGATTAGAAGCTTGTTCGGCTTGACAGCCCATTTTCGTGGGATCTCAAAGAAACGACAACACCATGATCTGCACGTGTGACGATGCGCAATCGCACATGTTTATTGGCTTTTGCGCTTCCTTGACATCTATGTGATCGCGATTAGCAAAGCCGGAGGCCATTTTGGGCGTGAAGCAGTGCAAACACCATTTGACAGTGTCTGCCCGCGCATGCTGTCAAAGCCCCTGATAATCCGCGAAATCCGTCACTTGACCGTGGAAACCCGTGAAAACCGTGAAATTGCAGCATGGCCCTGAAAATCCTTAAAGGCCGTGAACAGTCGCACTTGCGGTCGCAAGCAGTTTAGCCCTGCAAATTGCAATCGAGCGGCTGTCAAGGTTTGGGGCCCACGCTTCGTCCAAGTGTGGCTTGGTCGGTAGAAAGCACGCGCGTGCGCCCATTATCGGACAGGCTCGGCCAAGCTTGGGAAATTTGCAAGCCTCCCTTCTTGATTGAGGGGTTTTGGCCAACGCGTGGTTTGACTCAGAGTGTTGGTGAGGCTCGCCCTGGAACTGGAGCCCAATGAGCGGATCTGCATCCAGGGCTCTTTGTGGGACGCCAGGGCGCTGCTGCGCCAGGTGCTTCGACGAACTGGTCTGAGTCGACGAATGCAGCCGGGGCGGGACTCGGTCCGATTCGGCTACTCTGAATAAACTATAGGTTGCCCCCCCCCCTTGCTGTCACATAGAAGGTAAAACGCCAACAATAAGAACGCTGTATTTACAGTGTTTTCAAGCATCTGCAAGCACGAGGCGCCCAGAGTAGACTTGACACCTTCAACTGGAAGAGAGGAAAGATAGGCCCTGGAAAGGGGGTGACCTATAGTTTCTTCCATGGCTTTTCTTGATTGTTGTTGTCTTCTTTCTGTCCTTCTTTGTTGTCACTGTTTCGGATCTTGCAAGCTTTCCTTCTTTTCTCTTTCTGTCCTACTTCTTTCTCAACATTTTCGTCAAAGTGGTTTTCATGGCCTTCACAAATACAATTGAACAGGCTACATCAACTAACTTCAGGAACAAAAATCCAACAGTACGTTTTGTCGTCTGTGAAAACAAATAGTTTTAGCTGACAGAAACTTAACGCATCTAAGGGTATGTTGGCCCAAGAAGCAGCCATTTACACGAGCCAGGATATTGTTAAATTGAGCTGGGACTAGCCTAAACACTTTGAAAGAATCAAGCGATTTGTGGTTGACGCGCATGTACTTATTTGAAATAGTCAAGTGTCTGGCGCGCGCACATGCGTGTACCTCTTGCGGCTGTCATGGTCAGCCGCCGCCGGCCCCCAAGCCAAGCCAAATAGTCATTACTCACGGGTGTTGCAAAATCCGCACGCCCACTTCCTGCAAATCTTGGAGCCTACAACGGGGAGCTCGCAAGAGTATCATAGTTCGACCACTGAGAAGATTAGATGAATCGGGAGTTTTCTGAAAGGCGCCCGCCCCTTGGGGAGCTATTGGGGCATCAGGAAACACAAGGCGATCTTTTCATAATCTTTTCACAATTAATTACTCCAAACATTGAAAGGGTAGTAGTTTAGTTCAAAGTCTAGCGGGAATAGAACAATGAGAAACGGTTGTTTGGATTGCCCCAAAAGGCACCTGTCTCACTGAAAATTCAGAAAGCAGCCGGCCGGGCTTTTTCGTTGCTGTTTTCACAATTGTTGGAGCACTTAGAACAAGTAGACTTGTCAAGTGTATAGAACAGCTAAAGCGCCAGAATAATTACAAAAGTCACGCTTAGGGGCTCCCTAAGCGGCACCCCTCTAGGAATATTGAGAACAAGAAGCCTGCTAGGGCTACATGTTCTCCACTATTTATTGATTCCCTATTGCGTGGTAGCAGCTATGATAGAGAGAAAATTTCGATTAGCATAAAGTCTGCAATCCAACAGAACGCTCGTAACATAGAGATGGCGAAGCCGGTAGTCGGAAGTTTCTACAAAAGTTCTCTCTCGTTTGATTGTTCTCTGTCTGCTCGTGTTTTGATCTTTCTCTTTCTCTTTTTTTTTCTCTCTCTCTCTCTCTCCCTCTCTTTGTTTCCACGAAATCTGCACCTGCCCTTGCCAAAATGCTGCACCTGCCATGAAATTAGTATCTGACCTCGCGAAAGAAAGGCGCCTGCCACACAAACCAAACCTTGCCATTGCAGCGGGCAGTGTGCCAAGACCGCGCCGAACCTGTGCCAACAGAGGTGGTTGGCCTTGACGCAGACCCGCCAAAATCAGACGGGCTCTGAACTATTTAGCGGCAACGGTGGCCCGGCATTGACCCTGCGAGCGTGGTTGCTTGCGTTTCGGCACGCAGCCAAGGCGTGGTCAGAAATTGCGACACCCCCTACATTTCCCTGTTTGCTGCTGACCCGCTTTTCGTGATGCCCTTCCCGGTCTTCCGAAGCCGCGTCAGAAGCCGTGTCTTCTTCTCGACTGTGCCCGTGCGGACTCCCCCCTCCTATTGCCAACAGTCCCCTGTTCTCACCCTTCTGCGACGGGTGGTGCCCCACTCCCGCTTACACAGGACTTGTTCAGCTCAGATTTGACCTCGAGCTTGAGCCTCCGCATCCCCAATGGATTGTTGCGCGCCCGTGATTGGCGAACATGCCGCTTCGGCCTCGCTCACCCGCTCCGTTCAGGGGCTCTCTCAAGCGGGTCGTCGCTGGGGTAGCGGCCACCTCCGCCATCGTGAAGTCAAGGCGCCTAGCTGCTGTTTCCCAAAGTGGGCCGTCGGTCAGGGGAGAGGCTGACGGAGTAGAACTTTGAAGGGGGAGAGCAATCGGGTGTGGTCCTATGCCAAGCCTGCAACCAAAATTTTGTCGCCCTCAAAGACGACGACCGCACTGACTACCGCTTCGGAGCTTGAGGGTTGTTGACAAGGAAAGTGCAGAGGGGTGTAGTCCAGCTGCAAACCTCCTTCAACCTTCAACGGAGGCAAGGTCGATCCCCTGCTTGCCGCGGAACACGCCACGAAGACACTGGTCAAAGAAGAGACCCACGCCTCTCACAATCTGCACTCTTCCTGACCGCACGTCGCTTTCGCTCGAAAGAAGCTTAGATCACGCCCGCAAAGCCGAGAGTAATGTTCTCGCAGCCGTTCCAGTTCTTGCCTCGCGCTCTGACCAACTCAGCTAGGGAAGCCTTCACGCCCGCCCTCAGAGCGGACATGTGAACCCGAGGCTGCAAGCATCATGCGCCGCCTTGCGCTAACGCGACCGCACCGCCTACTTCCTCAAGGCCCTGGAGACGCAAGGGGAATATGAAAGAGAAGCCTACGGAGCGCGCGCTCCGTCCAAAGGTCATGACTTCGCAGCTATCTCGACCTGCAGAGAGAGTCTAGCCAGCGGGCCTTGGGGTGTAAGTGTACAAGCCTTGGAAAGCATCCGGGCTTCTTACGTCATCCTTGCGCCTCACCGGTCCACCCCCGACTGCACCAACCTTTACGCGCAAAAGGCTTGCTTTGCGAAGGAGTTTCTGAAGCAGGGCCTGTCCCTGCACCTTCGACGGTTCGCCCGCCCCAACGCAAGATCTTGGAGCCCAGAAGATTGTGGAGAGCTTGGTGGATGACGGGGCGGGTCTGCTGGCCCAGTGCTCCCTCTAGCAACAACCGGAATGTGGCCGCCCGGTAAAGTTTTCTGCGTCTACGGAACGCCCCGGCGGAGGCAGACACGTTTCCTGCGCAACCTCTGCATCATCGGTGTCCGACATCTCTGTCTTGGATGTCATTAAACATCAAGTACTTCGCGGAAGGTCCTCTTTCCACAAGATGTCGTGGAGCTTAGTCGCCCAGCCGTACCCGCGTGACCTTTGCAGGTTGGGGGGCCTTCCCCCAACGGCGTCGACTGGACCATGCCGGCTGCGCGCGCGTTTCAGCTCAAGTTGGTCGGTCGCCTTGGCTGCCTCACGACTTGCAGAACGCTGCGCTACTGCTATCTTGGTTTTGGAGGCTAGGTGGGGCGGTGAAGCCACTGGCCGTGGCTTTATGAGTGCCGATGCGTCTTCTCAACAGGCGGGCTAGCCAAAGAGGGGCAGTGGGTCGCTTAGGCGTCGCGCGAATGGTTCGCTTAGGGATCGCGCAAATGGATCGCTCCGGGATCGCTTTTTGCAGAAGGCTTGTCGCGCATGCATGCGTGTTGATATGTTTGCTCGCGATTTATGTTTATATACGCGCATGCGCGAGCATGTATGCGCTTGTTTGTGCTTGTCGGCGTGTATATCGCGTGACATATGTGACGTGTATGTTTCATGACATATGTTACTATGTATGCTGGCGAGTCCATGTATGTGGTTGTGTGCATGCGTGTTGACATGTATGCGCTGCGGCGTGTGCCCCAGAACCTGATGAATTTGCACATTAGGTTACAGAGCAGGCTGGGCTGGTTCAGTTGAGCGGGTGTGCTTATCATCCCCCCCACCCCACCCTCCACCCCCAGAAAGAGATGCATTTGCTGGGATGAAGCAGTTCATTATCATGCCCCCCCAAAACCAACCCACCTCCCCCCCCCCCGCAGAACCATGCTATTTTTTAACCCGGTAAAAGAGCAGGCTGGTCTGCAGCAGTTGAGCGGGTGTGCTTACCATGCCCCCCCCACCCCCACCCCCCAGAACCATGTTATTTTGAATTCCGGAAAACGAGCAGGCTGGTCTGCAGCAGCTGAGCGCATGTGCAAACCCCCCCCACACCCCCCCACCCAGAACCATGTTGTTTTGTAATCCGGTAAAAGAGCAGGCTGGTCTGCAGCAGTTGAGCGGGTGTGCTTACCACGCCCCCCCCAAAAAAATAGTAAAAGGGATTTGAAGGAACTGAAAATCATTTTACAATTTCTTTACAAACAATGAAAACACACATTGAAAAACCATGTATCAAATAATAGATAAGGTTAATAAATCACAACCTTATTCATTCTAAGTAATTCCTAGAAAGATGCATACCTTATTCATTATTTTTTCACTACTTAACCTATTTCATTTTACTATTTGTTTACCCTTATTCATTTTGTGTTTTAAGTCTTTTTCCAATTCTCAGAAACTCCAGTTATTCTTCATTTTTTCTTTTTACCTTATTCATTGTCCGCGAATTTTTCACTCAGACTTAACAATATGACTAAAACACATTTCACCTAATAGTTCCACAAAACCAAGCAGCCAAAGCACGTAAGCAAATTAGGAAAATATAATATTTCAATCTTTACAAACCATAAGTTCAATATAATTATAACATATAAGGTTTTACATGTTATTATTATAGTATGATTATAATTTCAGTACAGGATAATAATTTAATTGATTTGTCTTACTTCTTTCATACATCATTTTAAAAATAATATTAATATGTCTCAATGTATTTTGAATATTAAACTTTGTACTTTCAATAAATAATTTGATATGTTCTTTAACATCTTCTCCTTTCTCTTGACTATATCCCAACATCCATAATATATCATAAATCATTTCATATTTTTCTTACTGATTTTAAGAAACTGTTTAACATAATCATAAGGTGGTATTTTATTTACAGTTAGAAATATTAAAATCTCATCTTCTACATTTCTATTATTTATTCTTTTTATTCCCATCAGACATTTGATTAA